TATATATATATATATATATATATATATATATATATATATATATGTATATTTGCTATCTCATTTACTGTGATACTTAAGTTCTCCTTTTGATATTATAAATATCGAAACGAGGATGTGGTCGAGGTAAAACTCGAACCTGGAGAGCTGGGCATACAGAGCCGAGCCGCAGCAGGCTCCACAGTACTTGATCGACTTCATGACACCATTAGCAGCAAGATCTTATAACACTTGAGGAGCAATAAGGGTATAAGAAGATTTATTGAACGTCGACTTAATACCAAGCAGAAGTTAGATGATTTCAGCATTGAGGACATCGCTGGAGAATCGCAACAACATCCAGATTTTTGACAGGGTAGCGATTATCACCAATTTGGGAGAATTTTTGTCACTACTTCAAGAAGAAGTTAGAGCTAGTCTAAGTGAAGCAGGGAGATATACCCATAGTGAAGGAAGAAATCAAAACCAGAATAGTAATAATGACAATGGCAAAAGAACTATTACGGAATCTAGAGAATCCTAGCAGCGGAAGAAAAATTTTACCCAGCAACAAGTACAATATAAGAAAGGAGCACGATGTGATTCGAGAGCGCCGAAGTAACTCAAAGTACGGAGTACATGTTAAAATCACAACAAGATCAAACAAAAACGGAAGACTTGTCACAGTCGACGGTCTCAGAGTCGCAATTTCGATCAACAGCGGGGAAATAAAGGCACTGCTTGTTACTCCGAGGATTTAGGGACCAGCAGGACAGATTTACATTACCCAGGAGATTCTTGAAGGACAAATGGTCCCATATATGTTGCATCGCCGGCAGAGTTTATTCAGCAATACCGCGTGATTAGGGTACGGGTGGAGCTTTCTTCGTGATTTCTTTTTCAGCTCGGATCTAATTTAATTTAGAAATTCGGTTATCTTTCATACCTCCGTGGGTAGGCTTCAGCTTGTAGCACATTCTTTAGATATTCCGTTATCAGTATCTACTCCTCTAGGGGAGGTGTCCACTCTATCTATAGGAGATATGTCATCAGATTAGATGAGTCAGAGTTTGTTGTCGATTTGATAGCGTTGTATATGTCCGGGTTCGATGTTATCCTTGGTAAGGTTTGGTTATCCTCCTACCAGGCTAGTAT